CTTTGTGATGTCAGTTGAGGGCAGGTTTTAGCCCGCTGTCAGCAGAAAACACGCCACAGGAGTGCCCAGCTAAGTGCACTCCTGTGATACACAGAAGTAGGGCCAAAAGAGATCTGGCCCTGCTTCTCCTTCGAGGAATAGGTTGCCTCCAGGTGAGCCTGCTGTCTGTCTGTACTCGTATATCTTCCTGTAGTCAGGAAAGCTCCGTTTACAGTTGGGGACCACACTTATCAGAGGTGCCTTCATGCTGTAGTGTGGCTTCCACTAGTAATAGAGCTTAGAGTGTTACTAAACCCACAACAGTACAATCAGTCTGTAGATGCAGCAAAGCATGCTTGTTATACTCACTGTGGGACCTAAGGGGTTAATCCTCCGCACTGTGTAAAAAGGCTGTTTGATCCTGTCTTCTCTGATCCTTCCCTTCTACTGTCCCCTATCCATCTGCTGATAGAACAGAGCCTTGGGGACAAGCTGCACATGCTCAGTTTGGTGTGTATTGCTAGAGAGTTTTTTGTTTGTTTTTTTTTCTTGGGCGGGTGCATGTGATCAGCACAGGGCTATTCAGCACTGTCCAGGCAGAGAGTCAAAGGTCCTGCAGCCTCATAGGGCAATCGGGAGAATGAAAACTCCTCCTACAAGCTTTAACTATTGCTCTGCTGGACACTGATAGAAGTCAAGACTGCTATATACTGCTGATGAGAAAAGGTATTTTGCAGTTTATATTTACTGAAGTAATTGCATTTCCATGTTGTAGTGTACTGTGGGAGAGCGGATATAGTGAATGCGGGGTCCGGGGAGAGCGGATATAGTGAATGCGGGGTCTGGGGAGAGCGGATATAGTGAATGCAGGGTCCGGGGAGAGCAGATATAGTGAATGCGGGGTCCGGGGAGAGCGGATATAGTGAATGCAGGGTCCGAGGAGACCGGATATAGTGAATGCGGGGTCCGGGGAGAGCAGATATAGTGAATGCGGGGTCCGAGGAGACCGGATATAGTGAATGCGGGGTCCGGGGAGAGCGGATATAGTGAATGCAGGGTCCGGGAGACCAGATATAGTGAATGCAGGGTCCGGGGAGAGCGATATAGTGAATGCAGGATCCGGGGAGAGCGGATATAGTAAATGCGGGGTCTGGGGAGAGCGGATATAGTGATTGTGGGGTCCGGGGAGAGCGGATATAGTGATTGTGGGGTCCGGGGAGACCGGATATAGTGATTGTGGGGTCCGGGGAGAGCGGATATAGTGAATGCGGGGTCCGGGGAGAGCGGATATAGTGATTGTGGGGTTCGGGGAGAGTGGATATAGTGATTGTGGGGTCCGGGGAGAGTGGATATAGTGATTGTGGGGTTCGGGGGGAGAGGTCCGGGGACCGGATATAGTGAATGCGGGGTCCGGGGAGAGTGGATATAGTGATTGTGGGGTCCGGGGAGAGCGGATATAGTGAATGCGGGGTCCGGGGAGAGTGGATATAGTGACGTGGGGTCGGGGAGGTGGATATAGTGATTGTGCGGGGGTCCGGGGAGAGCGGATATAGTGATTGCCGGGTCCGGGGGAGAGCGGATATAGTGATTGTGGGGTCCGGGGAGAGCGGATATAGTGAATGCGGGGTCCGGGGAGGGCGGGTATAGTGAACGCCGGGGTCCGGGGAGAGCGGATATAGTGAATGCGGGGTCCATGGGGAGAGCGGATATAGTGAATGCGGGGTCCGGGGAGAGCGGATATAGTGAATGCGGGGTCCGGGGAGGGCGGATATAGTGGATGCAGGGTCCGGAGGGCGGGGTACAGTGGACGCTGGGTCCGGGGAGGGTGGGTATAGTGAAACGGGAGGGCGGTATAGTGAACGCGGGGTCCGGGGAGGGCGGGGTATAGTGAACGCGGGGTTCGGGGAGGGCGGATATAGTGAACGCGGGGTCCGGGGAGGGCGGATATAGTGGATGCCAGGTCCTTGGTTTAGTAACACATTAAGGCTAGGTTCACATATGTGTGGGTGGTGCCGCGGCGGATCCGCACAAAATTCCATGCAGCCGCACAACCCACACAGAAGAATGCGGACCCGCGGGGGGGTGTTAATAATTCTAATGGCACGCCTCGCACACTGGAAATTGCAACCACACTGGGAATCGAGGTTCCCGTGCAGGCTTCGGTTTCCTGAGAAGTGCAAGGACTTCTTCCCTGCGTGTCCCGGGGCACGGGAGTTCATTCAAATGAATAGGCTCTCGTGTCCGCACAACACACGGCCCGCAGGAACGCACATATGTGAACCAGGGCTAAACAGTCTGTGGTAATGACAGGGTCCCTTTTTAATACAGATTTTTCAGACCCACCATCTGGAACTCTTGGTACATATCCATGTCTAGCTTGCTCTTGTTTTTTTTTTCCCTTTTCCATCAGCGAGTATCTGACTTCTGGGTCATGTTATTGTCTTTGCCGTTTCAGGTTGTCCATTGTATTCAAACGCAGAGGAAAAAGCAGCTTAAATCCCAGGGGAAGAGAAGTAAAAGACTTGCCAAAAGTCTGCTGAAAGAGCCATGGAACCGGAACAGCCTGGCGCTGTGGAAGGAGTACGCCCTCCTGGAGTGGCTGCTGGGGAACACAGAGGAGGCCAGGAAGGTGTTTGATGCTGCGATCGGTCTGGCAGGAGGCAAAGGGTTAAAGGACCAAGAACTCTGCAGCCTCTGTTTGCTGTATGCGGAACTGGAAGGGGGGATTATGGACCCATTGGAGGGGGGGGTGGCGGGTCTCGAGCGGTCCATGTACTCACCACCCTGGCAGAAAGTTCTCCCTACAAACCCTATAGTGGACCTCCTCAGGCTATTAATATTTTGAAAGCGCGAAAAACCTACGAGCGTGCCGTACAGGACAGCTTGAATTTGCCGCCATCGGCGTCGCTGGTCACCTTAACGGGGTGTTATGCACTTTTCCAGTATCTCACCACGGGCGTGGAGGCTGCTGTTACAGTTTTCAGGGAGGTCGCCGGCTCACTGTCACCCCCTACGGCTGGGTGTGGAGAATCACAGGACTCGTACAGCCCTCTGCAGGCTGTCAAGTTGATGCAAATCAATTTGCTCACACATCATATGAAGGTTAGCGTGTACCCGCGGGGACCTCTCAGGGACGCATTGTCGGAGGCTTTACGTCTGTATCCGAACAACAGCGCCTTGTGGAGATCCTACATCCAGACTGAGAGCAGGTCTCACAATATCAGCAAAGCCAGGAGGTTCATCGATGGGATCAGGAGGACGTCGGATGCCCTGGAGCCATATCTATTTGCCATTTGGGCGGAGGAGGATAGGAAGAAGCTGCTGGATTCTGTTCAAAGGTAACCGGGGCCTTTCATCACCCTAGTCCAGGGGTAGGTAACCTGAGATCCGCAGGACTACAAGTTCCATCATGCCTCTGCAAGTCATAGCTGTAACTGTCCGTTTTGTAATCTTTGCAATGCCTCATGGGAAATGTAGTTCCACGACAGCTAGAGAGCCGCAGGTTGCCTACCCCTGACCTAGTCTGATGTACTAAATGAATCTGTTGTATTGGAGGCAGGCATGACTTGCTTCAGATTAGAAGATCGCTGCCTTCTCTGTATGGAAATAACAGATACTCCTTATTACTACATTATACCTGCTCCACCTACTGCTTACTGTTTTTTTTTTTTTTTTTTTTTTTTTTTTAAAGAGCTGGGAAGGGGTTTAGGGCTCTGACATGTTTTTATTGCCTAGAATTGAAGCACTAACAATCAAAATATTAACTTGATTTTCACTTTAAAGCCCACGTATATATTTACCATTTAGCCACTGTGCTGCCCCAATGTATGACATCATTTGCCTAGGCATGGCACAGTACAGGAGATGACAAGAGACTGCGGACACGTAGTACAGGAGATGACCAGAGACTGCGGACGTAGTACAGGGGATGACCAGAGACTGCGGACATAGTACAGGGGATGACCAGAGACTGCGGACATAGTACAGGGGATGACCAGAGACTGCGGACACAGTACAGGAGATGACCAGAGACTGCGGACACAGTACAGGAGAAGGACCAGAGACTGCGGACATGGTACAGGGGATGACCAGAGACTGCGGACACAGTACAGGAGATGACCAGAGACTGCGGACACAGTACAGGAGATGACCAGAGACTGCGGACACACTACAGGAGATGGCCAGAGACTGCGGACATACTACAGGAGATGACCAGAGAGACTGCGGACATACTACAGGAGATGACCAGAGACTGTGGACATAGTACAGGAGATGACCAGAGACTGCGGACACAGTACAGGAGATGACCAGAGACTGCAGACACAGTACAGGAGATGACCAGAGACTGCGGACACAGTACAGGAGATGACCAGAGACTGCGGACATAGTACAGGAGATGACCAGAGACTGCAAACGTAGTACAGGAGATGACCAGAGACTGCGGACACAGTACAGGAGATGACCAGAGACTGCAGACACAGTACAGGAGATGACCAGAGACTGCGGACACAGTACAGGAGATGACGAGAGACTGCAGGACACAGTACAGGAGATGACCAGAGACTGCGGACACAGTACAGGAGATGACCAGAGACTGCGGACACAGTACAGGAGATGACCGAGACTGCGGACACAGTACAGGAGATGACCAGAGACTGCGGACACAGTACAGGGGATGACCGGAGACTGCGGACACAGTACAGGGGATGACCGGAGACTGCGGACACAGTACAGGGGATGACCGGAGACTGCGGACACAGTACAGGGGATGACCGGAGACTGCGGACACAGTACAGGAGATGACCGGAGACTGCGGACACAGTACAGGAGATGACCGGAGACTGCGGACACAGTACAGGGGATGACCGGAGACTGCGGACACAGTACAGGAGATGACCGGAGACTGCGGACACAGTACAGGGGATGACCGGAGACTGACACAGTACAGGGGATGACCGGAGACTGCGGACACAGTACAGGGGATGACCGAGACTGCGGACATAGTACAGGGGATGACCAGAGACTGCAGACACAGTACAGGGGGATGACCAGAGACTGCGGACATAGTACAGGGATGACCGGAGACTGCGGACACAGTACAGGGGATGACCGGAGACTGCGGACACAGTACAGGGGATGACCGGAGACTGCGGACACAGTACAGGGGATGACCAGAGACTGCGGACATAGTACAGGGAGATGACCAGAGACTGCGGACAGTACAGGAGATGACCAGAGACTGCGGACATAGTACAGATGACCAGAGACTGTAGACAGTACAGGAGATGACCAGAGACTGTGGAACTTTGGGGGAGGGAGGGGGAGCAGGTACCTGAATTTAACAGGTACCCGCTCCCACTTCCACGGAGTTGTCCTTCCTTTAGTGTGGTCACCCGGCTGTGACAGCTGGGTGCCCACTGCGCATGCGCGCGAGAAGCGCTGTGCTTTGTGAATGGCCCGGCGTCTTCTGGGACACATGACAGGTGCCAGAAAACGCTGGGCCATTCACAAAGCACAGAGCTTCTCGAGCATGCGCAGTGGGCACCCAGCTGTCACAGCCGGGTTCCCACACTAAAGATGCCGGCGCGGGGAGACTACAGCGCTGGACAGAGGAATAGGTAAGGTCCTGCTGCAGAGAAGAGTTGAGCGGCCAGCCCGGTATTCTGACACGGTGTTTTATCGTCCTTATTTCTTTCTTCCAGTTTCCATGAATTCGTCTCTTAGACAAGGATACAGTCAGTAAAGATCCTCCTTTGCTTTAGAGTAGAACTATGGGAAAAGCTTTTTTTTTCATTTTGAATAGAGAAAAGGAGGGTTGTAACCCCTGTCAAATTTTTTCTTTTTTTTGTGCACCACCTATGTCCCATTGTAGAATTCTCTTCACTTCCTGTCCCATAGCCAAACAGGAAGTGAGAGTAAATCTCTGTGCGGCGTCCCGGCGTCTGGGCCTAGACACTGAGCGGCTGCACATTTGCGTTCTATTAAAAAAAACATATGTGCTGAGAGCGCACGTCCTGCACGCTCCCAGCACACACATTCGGTACTCACGGAAAGGTCCCGATTTCCAATCGGGACCTTTCCTTTTTTTTTTTTTTATTTAAATATTTATTAATTTTCAAAATATTAGGAAAGTTAAGATCCACAGTATAAATTCTTTACATTTGTATAACAGCAAAAACAAAATTATACACTCATTTCCTATATTTGCCTTATTTCTCCCCCCCCCCCCCCCCTCCCTTAACAAAATCTAAAATCAGGACCTTTCCTGATCATGTGACCGCGAATCACGGCGGTCACATGACCCTAAACCAGTGCCCCTGCCTCCGGCTTCTGGAACCCTTAACGGGCCAGGAGGCGCTGGCGCAAAGGGGTTAAGGGAATTTCTAGGGGATCCCCAGGTCACCAGAACTAGTGTCCCCATTGGAAGATTTCCCCTCTATTACTTTTCTGGGGACAACCCAAAATGTGTGATATTTTTTTTTTTTTTTTTTTTACTTGAACAGGACAAATCGAGAAATAAAAACCTAACACGTGTTCTAATACCGCTCCACTCTATCCAAAACTAAAAAAAAACGTTTTGCCTTTAGTTATACTTTATATTATTATTATACAGTATTTATATAGAGCCAAAGGGTTTGCTCAGCGCTGTACAATAGCAAGGGGGACAGAACATGAGACAAAGACAGTAACAATACAATACACGAGGGGTTCGAGGGCCCTGCTCTTTCCAGCTTACAATCTAGGAGGGAGGGGAAGGTGGTACAGGAGGAATGGCTGTTGGGGATGGAGTGGTGGGGTGGAATGAAGGAGGTTGTTGTTGTGAGGTCGGGTGTTAGGAGAGGGTTGGGGTAGGCTTCCCTGAAGAGGAGGGTTTTCAGGGTGCGCCTGAAGGTGAGGAGGGTAGGTGACATTCTGATGGATTGGGGTAGGGAGTTCCAGAGGATGGGGGAAGTCCTAGAGAAGTCCTGCAATCGGGCGTGGGAGGAGGAGACCAGGGAGCTAGAGAGTAGGAGGTCCTGTGAGGAGCGGAGGGCACGGGTAGGTTGGTATTTGGGTATCAGGTCAGTTATGTAGTTTGGGGCGGCGTTTGTGAAGGGCTTTGTAGGTCAGGGTTAGCAGCTTGAACTTGATGCGTTGGGCAATCGGGAGCCAGTGAGGGGATTGGCAGAGGGGGGAGGCAGATGTGGAGCGGTTGGTGAGGTGGATGAGCCGCTGAGTTCAGTATCGACTAGCGTTCGTTTGGGTAGGCCAGTGAGGAGGGAGTTGCACTAGTCCAGGCTGGAGATGGGGCCATAGCGCACTTCCAGGCGTTTGGGTAGGCCAGTGAGGAGGGAGTTGCAGTAGTCCAGGCGTGAGATGATGAGGGAGGCCAGTGAGGAGGGAGTTGCAGTATCCAGGCGTGAGATGATGAGGGGTGAGAAGGGAGTACGCAGTAGTTCCAGGGTGGATGATGAGGGAGTGTACGAGTAGTTTGGTGGTGTCTGGGGTGAGGAACGTGCGTATCTTGGAGATGTTGCGGAGGTGGAGCCTACAAGATCTAGATAGCAGTTGGACGTGGGGTAGGAAGGAGAGGTGGGAGTCCAGGGTGACACCCAGGACTTTGGCATGTGGGGTGGGAGAGATGGTGGCGTTGTTAGTGGTGAGAGGATGGGGGGGGGGGCATGGGGTGGGGGGAAGACCACCCCGTGCCTAAGAAAAGTACACATAAACAGCGCTATGTCAAAACACAATATCCAATTAATATAGAAGGATAAACAAGAGAAAAAAAACTTCCACCAAAAAAAAATAATAAATAAAAGTATAATGTGAAAAGTTCAATTCATTCCAGTGGTAAGTGTCTCTGTAAGACCAAGCGACCCACCGTCCATGTGATCCTGCAGTCATTAACACCCCATTGGATTCAGTGGAAAATGAGTAGGAATTCAATCAATCTCCTTAACCCCGACGCCGAGCGCACGCAAATATGCGACCTCCCGGCGTCTGGGCCTTTATGTCGAGTGGCCGCATATTTGCGCGCCATTAGAAAATACACATATGTGCTGAGAGTGCGCGCTCCCGGCGCACATGTTGTGACTCACAGGTCCCGATCTCCGTTGCGATGGGACCTTTTCCGATCGTGACGGCGAAACACGGCGGTCACATGACCCTAAAACCCCGCGCCCACCTCCGGCTTCTTAAACTCTTAAAGGGCCGGGAGGCGCCAAGAGGTTAACAATGAATGGTTGTCAAATCTCGAACTTGATAATCAGGCAGCAGCCCAAAAGGACCTCCAATCAATAGATTATTAGAATCTCATACTGCGATCTCCTCCTCATTTCAGATTGGGAAATCTCGATTGCATATGGGCAAAATAAACCCGCCATGTAGCGTGATACCGTGAAAACAATCATTTATTGCCGTAAAAAACCCCACTTAAGAGAAGCACTCGCATTGAGTAACATGATAATGCACATTGTATATATACTTCCAATAAAATGGCCGCCGACCACAGCAGCTAGTGACCGTCTCACCGCACACTGGTAACTGAGATCTTAAACAAGGATCACGTGCTCTCACCACGTAGTCTCGGCATGCGTGATGACGTCACAGATTTAATTTTTAGTTATACTTCTGCTCAGTTGTCTATAATGTGTTTTGTTATTGACTTTCAGATATTATATATTCAACGGTCTGAAAAAATGTGCCAGTCCCCCTTTATCCCCCCCCCCCCAAAACCACCCCCCCACCACCCCCCACCCCCCCCCCCCCCCCCCCCCCCCCCCCCCCTTGATAAATGAAATACATTTTGGGAACACACAGGGCTGTAGGATTTGAGGCTGTCTCTGTGTTTTGCAGGGTGGATATGGGAGAGGTGCACACACTACTGCCGGAGACCGGACTGTCCAACCGGATCAAGGCCTTGTTTGAGCACTGTGTGTGGGCACGGAGCGTGGATCCCGGTGTGTGCTGCTCTGGAGGATGTACCTGCACTTTACCGTGAGTTGTGTCTGGAACCCTTTTCCTTCTGGACGTCTCGTACATGTATTATTTAAAGCCGAGATCAGCAACCTTCTCCATATTAAGCCCCGGTTACACCAGTGCGACTTGTCGTGGGATTTGATCGTTTCAGATCGCATGACAAGTCGCACCCTCTTGTCTGCAATGGAAGCGGTCATATCTGTGCGACTCGGACTCCGTTGGAGTCACACACCCATTTTAAAGTACTTGCGCTACTTTTTGCAGGTTCAAGTGCGACGTCCATGAAGTCACACAGATGTCTTCCAAGTCGCACCTGAAGTTGGACTGATATCTGACTTTGAAATTGTGCAACTTCCCTTCAATTCACACAAATTTCAAAGTTGGATTCGGTGTGAGCAAAGACTAAGTGTCCATTTACAAGCGTTAGAAAACTGGCGTGCCGGAAAGGTGTGCCGTAGACCTCACATCACCCCAGTTCCTGCACCTTTAGACCTCACACCACCCCAGTTCCTGCACCTTTAGACCTCACACCACCCCAGTTCCTGCACCTTTAGACCTCACACCACCCCAGTTCCTGCACCTTTAGACCTCAAATCTCCCCAGTTCCTGCACCTTTAGACCTCAAATCTCCCCAGTTCCTGCACCTTTAGACATCTCACATCAGTTCCTGCATTTTTAGACCTCGCATCACCCCAGTTCCTGCACCTTTAGGACCTCAAATCTCCCCAGTTCCTGCATTTTTAGACCTCACATCACCCCAGTTCCTGCACCTTTAGACCTCAACCCCAGTTCCTCCAACCTCAAATCTCCCCACCCCAGTTCCAGTTCCTGCACCTTTAGACCTCACATCACCCACCCCAGTTCCTGCACCTTAGACCTCAGATCTCCCCTCTGCACCTTTAGACCTCACACCACCCCAGTTCCTGCACCTTTAGACCTCACATAATCTCCCCAGTTCCTCCACCTTTAGACTTTAGACTCAAATCTCCCCAGTTCCTGCACCTTTAGACTTCAAATCTCCCCAATTCCTGCACCTTTAGACCTCAAATCTCCCCAATTCCTGCATTTTTAGACCTCACATCACCCCAGTTCCTGCACCTTTAGACCTCAAATCTCCCCAATTCCCCACTTCCTGCACCTTTAGACCTCACATCACCCCAGTTCCTGCACCTTTAGACCTCACATCACCCCAGTTCCTGCACCTTTAGACCTCACATCACCCCCAGTTCCTGCACCTTTAGACCTCAAATCCCCCAGTTCCTGCACCTTTAGACTTCAAATCTCCCCAATTCCTGCACCTTTAGACCTCATATCTCCCCAATTCCTGCATTTTTTAGACCTCACATCTCACCCCCAGTTCCTGCATTTTTTAGACCTCACATCACCCCAGTTCCTGCATTTTTAGACCTCACATCACCCCAGTTCCTGCACCTTTTAGACCTCAAATCTCCCCAGTTCCTGCACCTTTAGACCTCTTTAAATATCCCCAGTTCTGGCACCATCAGCTCCTGCAGGGGTTTAATTCCTGCACCTTCCTACCTACAGCACCTGGCTGATCCTCTAGCACACAGGTCACCCCAGTTCCTG